TGACGGAGGTTTGGAAGGTGTTGAGTGCGTGGAGGATGGCAGAGAGGTCGGGGTTGGCGGTGTTTGCTGGTGGTTGTTCGCCTGCGAGGTTGCGGGCGATGCTATCGACTGAGTCGGTGCGGATGTCAGACATGTTGATGGAGGATGCGGCCATGTCGGGGGAAGAGGGGGTGGAGGACGTGGCCTGAACGGGAGTGGAAGATGCAGCAGCAGCAGTGGCGGCGGCGACAGCACGTTGGGAGTTCTTGGTTTGGCGTGGTGGCATGTGGAGGGTGGGGGGGGAATCCCTTATTTATTTATCAATAAATTCAAAAATAAAGATAATCGCCAAGTTTTTTTTTTTCCAAAAAATAAAAATAAAATAAATAAATAAAATCAAATAGAATAAATGCTGAACAGAAAGAGATAATTAATTTTGAAAAAATAAATTCTGATTTAGATTTAAATTTATTTACAAGAAAATGTGAAATTTCGAAAGAAAATATTTTCGAATTACGGGGAAAGAAGAAGAAGAAAAAAAATTATGAAAAGAATTAGGAAGAGGAAATTTTTAAAATATTTGGCAAGAATTTTTCAAAGGAAAATGTCCACATTTTAGAAAAAGGATAATTAATTTCGAATAAAGAGATTAATTCAGTCATGAATTAATTGAATTTAGTCAAAATTAATTGAGGGGTTTAGAATAACATTTTTAAAAGAAAAGTACTTCCAAATTGTAAAAAGAGTTTCGAATTTCAACAAAAATTGCGAAAAGAAATTGTGAATTTAAAATACTGGGAAAAAGAATTAATTAGAATTATTTTTGAATTTCCAAAAGAAATATCGAAAAAAGAATCTAATTAATTTTAATGTATTTTCAAACTTTTCGAAAAAATAAAAAATAAAAATAAAAATAAAAAAATTGAGTAGAAATGTTTTGAAAAAGAAATGTTGAAAAAGAAATGTCAAAAAAAAGTTAAATTAATTCTAAAATATTTTCGAATTACAAAATTTCGAAAAAGAATGAATTAAATGTGTTTTCAATTTTCGAGAAGAAATGCCGAGAAAGAAATGATTAAATCCTATGTATTCCGAAAACTTCGAAAAAGAGAATACGTTTGAGAAAGAAATGAGTTTTTTTTTTTTTTTTTTTTTGAATGTACAAAAAAAAGAGAATTTAAAATGGATTCTAGAATTGAATAAAATGAATTTTGATGCGAATCGAGGGCGGGGCGATCCTATCTACTATTGATTGGGTGGTAGCGTGGTAGGTAGGGCACGGGTAGATTGGTGATGATGATGATGATGATG